AGAGCTCAGTCCGTTAATGCCCTGGGTTTTATCAGCTGTTCACCAGCAAGAGAGGCCAAGAATAAGAGCAATAAGTGTAATTAGCAGTGACATAGCGAACTGCCTGCATTCTGATCCTGCATTTCCTCTTACTCAACTATGATTCTGGGGGAACTATATCGTCTCTCTCATTTTGCTCATAAAATGAGGGTAATGACAGAGACTGCCTTGTAAATGGTTGTGAGAAGGAAAATTTCATGTGAAAACATTTGGCCATACTAAGAATTTAATAAATATTTTCTATGGTTTGATTGTTAGAAATAACCTAAAAATATCTTGTAATAAATCTGAAAGTGCATATTTATCTATGGACTCTTTCAATATGAAAAGAAAAAGTGTTAAAATTAAATAGGGTATATAGTAGCAGTATAAGCCATAAAAAGAGGAGACCCACAGGAAGACCCACAGGCAGAAGAATAGTTAAGGAACTGGGAGGCGTGCATAGAAAGGTACGTTGTCGGTCTTCAAATGGAAGGAAACTGCCGCTTGGAGCTTGGGAGAACCTTGAAGACACTGATCTGAGGGAACTAAACCAGTCATGAAAGGACAGATGCTGGGTGACTCTGCCTAGGAAGTGCCCAGGTAGTCAGATTCATGGGCAGAGGCAGGAGGGTGGCTGCAGAGGTTGGTGGGAGGGGAGTTACGGTTCACAGGTACTGTGGTGACAGGGGCCCAGCAATACGAGCGCACTGAGGACCACGTTTAAGTAAAGCTAAAAAGCATAATTTTATGCTATATTTATTAAATGTAAAACAAATTGAATAGGTCAGTAACTATAAAGTCCTTATAACTGTGCATGGTGTGTACTAAATAAGTGTTTGTAAAATATGCTTTTTCTCATTTTAGAGGGAAACAAGAAATGGCAAACAGTAACTTTACTTCCAATAAGAATGGAAAAGGCAAAAAAGAAGCAAGAAATGGGCCCAGTAGTCTGCTGCAGGCAGCTCTGCCATCCCTGGACTGGAGGTCTGGCCCAAGACTCTCCAGAGTGGAGAGTGCACAGCCCTGGAACCCAGGAACCTCACTCTTTGCTCCCCATCTCCTTTGACCCTGCCCCCGTAGGACTCTGCTTTCCAGAATTCCACCCCATCTTTTCTTCTCTTTCTTGGGAAAGAAAGAAGGCCATGTGACCCTGGCCATGTGAGCCCCTGACTCAGTGTCCACAGCATGGGACAGTCATGGCTCTCCCGTGATAGGAACACAGGGCCATAGGGCATAGTCATGTACACTTTCCCCAAATGCCTGAAAAGTGAAACTCAAAGGAGCCGATTTGATACAGATCCGATTACAGGATGAGTAGTACGCTTTCAGTAACAAAGCATCCATAACCTCATGCCCAGATACCCAGAGGTGTCAGGAATTGACTTTAAGTGTCACACGCAATGATGGTGCTGGGAGAATGTTGAGGTACAGACCCCATGTCGAGGGACATTTTACAAAGTGACTTCATATTTATCACAGTCGTGTTGACGGTTCACAATCACCCTTTAGAAGCAGAGAAAACCCACACCCTTGTATTCAGCTTTTTACCTGGGAAGAGGGAAACTCAAGTCAAATCTTTTGTCCAAGTTCATAGGGAGAGACAGTGATTGTCTAAACTCACAACCTTCACCTTTTAATGTCACATCTGGGGCTTTTCCAAAACCAGACAATTTTCTATTTTTCCCTTTTCCATTGGAAAGAAAAACCTCATTGGTGAAAAAAAAAAAAAAGCTCGTGACATGTTTTACCAAATGTAGATATGATCCATTCTGCAATTTTGGAGTTTATAACAGACACACTTTAGAATAAGGCTTGAAAATTCATACCCATCTGGCTTGTAGATTTCTCTGGGTTTGATTCTGTGAGAGGCTCCTTGCTTGGGATCTCGTTGATTCTCACAGCTTTAACCAGCAGTGTGTGGCACAAGTAATGCTGTTTGGTTTCCAGGCCTCAAAGTCCTATACTCTCTCCTTCCTGTCTCTTGCAACTCTCCCTAGGATATCCAAGCTGCAATGTTCAGGGCCCAGCTAACCTGCTGAGACTACCAGATCACATGGAAACCAAAAGTAGGAGAGAAGAAATAATAACAAGGAGAAAAGACAAAAGGAAAATGCAATTTTTAAATTATACTTTAAGAGAAACTGCAGCTTCAGGACACAAAGGTATCCCAGGTTACAGTATCTTTTCCCTTCCGGGAAACTCACTCCAAAAGATTCTTAAGGGCCTTAAAGATACAAAAAGACTACAGGGGCCAGGGATTTAGCTCAATGGTTCCACCGCCTGCCTCGCAAGCACAAGGTCCTGAGTTCAATCCCCAGCACCAAAAAAAAAAAAAAAAAGACTACAAATTGTGCCCAGAATTTTTGCCAGTATTTCTCTTCACCAATCCCACCCTGAAGGAAAGAGCACTAAGAGGAAAGCACATCTCTCAGCTTCAAATGCATGCAAATAATTAACACAGCCCACCGAAAGGGATACCCGGCCCCATGGGGCAGGAATATCTCTCCACATCACCTGTCCCAAAGGCCCCCTGAGACCACATGAGCACCCCCAGCTCTAACACAGTGTGCCTGGTCTCTCAAGGGCCCACACTCCCCTCTCTGTACGTTCTCCCTTAATTAGGCCAGATAAACCTACCCTGCCTCTCGCCCATGCACCCTGAAATGCCTTGCGACATCATTGGAGAGCCTGCAACTCAGTCTGCAGGGGGTGTGAGCTGCGGTGCTGGCTTCTCCTTGGGGAATGTGCTCAGCTGCCTGGGGTTACAAGGAAATGGGCCCCAGCTGAGCCCACTGAGACAGCAGGACTGCGAGGGCCACCGATTTGAACCCAGTTCATACTCTGAAGTGTGCCTCTGAGGGACCCTGTTATCAACGGCACATAAAGCAAAGGTTGCCCAGGTGACACTTTTTTCAAATTCTTGAGGTACACAGGGTAAGCACCAATAAAATAGCTGTTATTCTAAGCTAGTAAGTCCCGTGGTAGTTGGGTGCATGCTGCTCTATAGTGGGAAGGGTTGATGCGGTCTATAAAAGGGAGTTTAATGGAACTAGTTACCTGCATCTCAATGCAGGCAGATTTCATGTAACGGCACAAGTGTCCACTCCTCCCGGGGCCCTGGGTGCTCCCTGCACGGAAGGGATTCTCTGCAGAGTGACGGCACTCTACCCCACAACAGTTGCCTTTGCTGTTTTGTCTGGTCCCTGTAGTTATTAGTTTTACCCGCCTGGCCCTACAAGAGTTTACCTTAGGACAGAGTCTCACTTTGCAAAGTGTAAGAATGAGCGATGTATTTAACAGTTCGAGCATCTGAACAGGCAGATGGGCTTCACGCAAAGATAAGTAAGCACCGTACCTGGGTCAACGGCTTCTCTGTCAAACACGGTCTCATACACAGTGGTTTCCTTGGGGAAAGCACACATTGCGTGTTAGCAATTAGCTTGGTAAAATTGCCTTGGATGAGCGTTTTCTACTGGAGCAGCTGAGTTCTTTTAAATTCTTTCATCTCTCCCATCTGCAGAGGGCCAGCAGCCTCAGACCAAAGCTTCCTGCCATCTTTCCCCCTCTCCATTGGCCTCCTTGGGCTCTGTACCCCAGGGCCTTATCTTGTCATGAGGTCTTTTATCCTATCTGAGAAGTGTTACACCAGTGATGTGAACCTATGGCATCCCCACTATGGCGTGTTGTTTGTTTTCCTTTTTAAGACAAAAGATGTTAATGTGGAGCTGTTTTTTTCTAAATGAAGACCTCAGTGTCCAGGTTTAATTGCAGTGTTGGCGCTGTGTGATGAATAAGAGGGTTTTGGGTTGCAGGTTGGCACTGATCTCTAAAAGGTTCACCATCGCAGGTAGACTGTGCCCTTCCCCCTAATTTCATATGTTGAAGTTCTAGCCGCCAGCACCTCAGAACTCACGCCTTTGGAGGCTGAGCCTCTGAATATTTAATAAAGTAAAATGAGGTCACGTGAGCGGGCCTTGAGTCCACGTGACCAGAGTTCTTCTACAAAGAGGCGATTGAGGCACTGACAACGCCATCCCTCTCATGGAGTCTGTGAGGCCAGGGCAAGAAGGTGGCCAAGGCCAGTCGAGGACAGAGGCCTCAGAAGAGACCAAACTGCCAAACCTGTAGCCACCAGGGCTATGCAAGATAAATTTCTGTTCTTTGAGCTACTTGGTCTGGTATTTTGTTACAGCAGCCCCAGCAAAGTAACCCCGAGACGAGGTGCCTTCGGCTGCCTAAGGCAGGGACAGGGGAAGGAGGCGTGGAAGAGCCAGCTCATGACGCCGTGGTGGTCAGCGAGGCCTTGGCAGGGTGCACTGGGCACATGGGAAGCACGTGCAGAGGAAAAATGAGAGACAAGACTAGAAATGGCCTTTCCCATCCCAAACCTCAGCTATGTCTTCCTAACCTTGCCATTCCTGTGCGTGTTCTGTTAAATTCATTCCAACTTGTAGGAGGTCTGCATATGCAAGGGTACAGATTTACCACTTGCTAAAAACTCCAAAACTGAAGAACTTACTCAGGTCTATGACACCCATCATTTATTTTCAAAAATGGATTTTTTTTTTAATGGTGAAAATGTTGAATTTGCATTTGTCTTGTTATTTTTGCTGAGTGTATAAAATTTGAGGCAAATTTTGACCTGGCCAAAGCCTGAGATTGGATCTGAAATTCCAACTTTGTAATGCATATAAATTCAGCAGATACAGACAAGTTGAAATAATTTTATTTCCTATTTATGATGGTTGAGTAGATGTGTTTCTATGGAAGAAATTTTCATTGCTCAGCAATTACAGGAATAAATTACCATAAGGGACCACAAAATGCACTTACTGTTAAGACTTCCAATTTTTTATTTCTGCTTCTTGTGACAGTTTTTTCCTTTTGATTTCGATCTCCTGTTCAAAAATAAACAGATAAAAGTCAGATATCAAGACGTCAAGAGGCATTTCTTTAATAATCACACAATTCAAGCATAATCACGTTGTGATAATCTGCAGCTTACCTGCAATATATTTCATTTCTCTGTATAAAAAGAAAATTGGACAAAATATCAGCTTCATTAAGTTAAAATATGTTTCAAAAATAATTTCATTCAATACTCAGCATGTGACTATTATATCACCTTTCTTAGCCCAGGAAAAATAGAAATGCTATATGGGGAATTAGGAAAGCAGTCTTTGTTAATCACCACCACCCTCTTCTCCACACCATAAATAAATTCTGCTTAATTAATAAAAATTCAACTCCAAGGCTCCTTTCGAAGTCCTGGCACTCTGTGTCCTGGAGAGCTGTCCTGGGGGTTTGAGGAAAGCAGATGAGAATCCTGTCTGTCCCCACGGCCTCTCTTCCCCACTCGGTGCAGAGAGGATACCTATGCTCATTTCCAGTCCCTAGACTACTGCCCAGGGGTTGTCAAACACCAGTCCATGAGCCATCTCCCATCAGGATGATACAAGCAGTCAGTTGCTTGTTTGCTCACAGATTTATCTGTTTATCAGGGAGACCGGTCTTCTGCAAGAGGGGAGGGGGTTAGGGATGGGCAGGGGTGAAAGGAAGGTGATAAAGAGGAATTAAGAGGTGTGCGCATGTACCAACTTCCCACAAGGAACGTACTTATTATGTATTGCAAACGTACAAATTTTTTTAAAATTTTAAAGTTTAAAACTCCTTCCTATAGAAAGTCTGGCACAAATGTTTTACAGTATAATTCAACAATGTACTGTTGCTTTTATAAAAGGAAAGCTCTCAAATGTTTTTGGAATAGAGTAGGTTTGGGGTCATTGGTGAAAGGCACCACTGCGTTCTGTACTCCAATATTTCCCTCTGCTCTTTGAAACCAAACTGAGAAGCCCACAGAGTTGAAATCCCAAACCTCAGTTGATTTCACTTCTTTACAGCAAAAGCTTAGAAAGAAAATCACACACCTGGGCATGGACTTGGAGATGTTCTGGGCCGTGATCTGACAGCACTCCATGAAGTTTCCATGCCTCCAAAGCAGGAAACAAAGCCAGGAAACGAGTCCCACAGAGAGAACAGCCATGAGAGTGAGGATGGAAGGGACGTACCAGGCACTGGACCGGTACGTGTTGACATCTGTGTACACAATGGTCAGGCCTTTGCTCTGCTGGGAAAATTGTTTCAGAGCACACAGAGGATCAGTCCATGTTTTCATAGAGCATCTGTTTACACACAGTAACATCAGTATAGCGCCAGGGTCCTACACAGACAGGGAGCACTGACTCAGCCATGTGTATTTCTACACACCATGGGTGAGGCTGAAAGACACTGAAATACAGAGAGTCACCGATTTAGCTGGGTGCAGAAAGCACTCTGTGACCCCAAATGAACTGTTTCTTTTCTTTGCCTTAAGTTTTCTCGTTCAAGGTCTGAACTAGATGGTGCCTGAGGTCATTTTAGCTCTCACATTCCTCTTATTTATTCTACATTTAATTAACTCTTTTGTGCAGCTTGAGAGAAAATCAAATACTCTAGCAAAAAGATTTACCACCATTTTTTCAAAAGCTTCTACTTCAAAAGATAGAAGAGTTGGGTGGTGGCGCATCCCTGTAATCCCAACACTCGAGAGGCTGAAGCAGGAGGATCGCCTCAAGTTTGAAGCCAGCCTGGACTACATAGTGAGTTCAAGTCCAGCCTCAACTACTTAGCAAGACCCCGTCTGCAACCTGCCCCCCCAAAAAACAAGAAAAAGATAGAATACAATAAAATACAGCATAAGGTCTACTGAACACACTTTATCCTTGGCTGATTCAGAAGCCATTTGGAATTCAGCTGAGGCTTTGCATTTTGATTTTTTAAGAAAATAAAACACTAATGGGTCTGCTAAACTTCACAGGGTTGGACTGAAGATTAGATGGAATAATGAGTATAAGGCATTCAGTACAATGCCTGGCACACCATTAATATGAACAGCATGGATGTTGGACAATATCCTTTGAAGGTGCCGATTTGTAGACATTTTTAATTGATAGAACTCATTAAGTAGAGGGCACTTCTTGTTGGGTGGGACTTTCAGAAAATTCAGATATAATTATCCTCTTAAGGATCTTCTATGCATGATGTGCAATCGGCCCAAATTCAATCCCACTCAGCCTATGTCCACTGTGAAATGCTACCCAGTGGCTGGATGGGCTATGCCCCGGGGACAGGCATATAGCTAGGATGCTGCCCCATCATTCTTTTAGCCTTTCTAGGTGAAGCCTGGATTTACAATAGCGTATTTCCCACACGAGAACCCACTTAAATGCTGAGACTCTTTACTTCAGAGCTGATTGGAGGAGAGGGCGTGGCGGCCCTTATCACATAAATATCTATAACAGCGGTGCCCGTCCTGGGCTTGGTGGCTCTGCCGTGCCTCCGGTTGTCATCCACCACATGTACCACGAGGTGGTACCGCCGCGGCCCCTCGGCTCCAGGCTCGCGGTGAAAGGGGTTCTTCACGATTAACCTGGGAGCATTTGAACCTTGAGTCGGGTCAAACCCAAAATGGTGGTTCTCATTTCCTTTAAAAAGAATGATTGAAAAAGAATTATTTTAAGATACCTTGAATGCTGTGCTGAAACTATCTAAAACTGCTGTTGTAGCACAGTAGGGGTAAATAAGTCAGAGGTCTGCTGTACTCTAAATTCCCACAGCTACACATGGCTTACAATTAAATTGAGATAAAATGAGCAATACATATAACTGATTAGGAAAAATATGTTTTAAAGGTTAAAATCATGAGTCGTAGCCCTACATGTGGCCGGAAAATCTCTCACTATCATGGAATTGTTTTTCCTAGTTGCTTTCTCTTCCTTTGTCTTCCACGCAGAGCACTGTGCCTTTCACCTTCAGCTTAGTCTACACCAGTATCAAATAAGCCAGGCTGACCACAAGTCCTAAGTCCATGTCCTACACACATTGTTGCAAATAAGATGCACATGGTACCTTTCTTCTTGGAGCTTTCCATCTAGCAAGGGAAACAGCATCCACCCAGTCCTCATAATAATTAGTAGTGTGCCTATTGATCCCAGGCTCTGGTTCTCTCAGGTACATGATGACAAATTTGACTTCCATATTTGAAATAGGTCTCCTTTTAGTACCCAGTAGCTCCTTTAACTTATCGTTGTCTGTCATCTTATAATTACTGATCTTATTACTAGTGTAACAGGCAATGAGTGTCACAGGTACAAATCATATCTGTTGGAAACTTCTGTGTGCCCATTTCCTATCACGGTGCCTGGAATACAGCTGGCCTCCGATAAATGCCTCCCACGTAGGACAAGATAGTGATCCAGCTCTGCGTCAATGCAACAGTAGCAGAGTCAAAAGCATCTACCCTAGTGAACTTTTATTGGTATCAGACAAAAAGGTGCCTGCTATTTTGACCAGCACCATGGACAGCAGACTCAGGCTTGCAGTGCGGCCTTTAGTATCATATTTCTTAGGCAAGTCCAAAATCGTGTGGTGAAAATATCTGCGAAGCCACAGATACTTTCATCTCAGCAGGAATTAAACTGGATATTTAATACCCCTGGATATTCCAGTGGTGGAAAAGATGCCTTGCCTTGAGGATATGAACCCGTATACACATAGCCATTTCTATGGTTACAGATCATGTCTAACAGGGTACAACTACGGGCAAGCTGGCACATGCTCTGATTAAAAGAAATAAAGTCATCCACCAGAAGCTATCTCAAAGCGCATTTCGAAATCCTGCGAATCTCTGTCGTGACAGCGTAGCCTGAAGCCGTTGACGTTTGTCCCGGCAGCAGCATTGTCAGGAATGGCTCCCCGGTAAAGAGAGGGCACGCAGACGGGCTCTTCGTCATTCTCGTCCTCAATGTCAACCGTGACCTGTCACAGTGAGGAAGGGGAGTCTCATGTCCGCATCGTCCGACTGCACACACTCTGGGTGGAGACAGGGCCTTCACAATCACTACATTAGAAACCCAGGGTTTTCGGTTCACAGAGCTGTCCCTGGCTGTCGATCAGCGAGTCCAGAGTGCTTGTCACTGCTGGTCAACTGGACATTCAAGGCAGCCATGGGGAGGGCTTTGGGCCACGGGAGGAGCCTCTGGGAAGCTCACAGATTATGCAAATGATGACAAAGGAGAGCTGAAGGCTGGTGCCCCTAACACGTTAAATATTTACGCTGAATGCAAGCATGTCCTGAGCCTGTGTCCTCTTTCTGAAGTAAGGGCCTGCTGTTCACCATTCTCTCCAGTGAAATATATATATATTGTTTGGTAATTATATGATTACTTGAAAGTATGATCTGTCCTAAATTAGGCACTGTTATCAACATCGTCCTAACTAAAATACTACAAAGCATGATTACCCGAAAAAGATCCAAATATCTAGGATTTTAAAATGTCAGGGCAGAATGCCAGTCTGCCACAAAGGTCACCTGCCACCTCGCAGGTGACTGACAGCTTCCGCAGGGACTATCAGAGAGGAGTCCCGGGTGTGCCTGCATTTGCAAGCATTCCCCTTTCAAGAGTGTTCTCTGCCACGTTCCAACAACGCAGCTAAATTCTGGGGAGTGGTTCAACCTTGGACGCTACTTCAATAGTCTGATATGGCTTTGTGCTCATTTGACATTGAGGCCGCTGCACAGGGTAAGTAGGTGGATTGTAGGGCGGCTTCTTTGATGTACTGGAAACAGCACGGTGCTCGGACGTGGAAGAGAAATCTCCATTCAAGCCGCATCTCCCTGTGGTAGGCTCCTGTGTTTGGAACACATGACTTAACCTTGCTTCCCTCAACCACAAAAACACACTAACCCTTAATCCCGACCTTCCTGGGAGTGGTGGGCAGGATGAATTCATCCACTCAGTGGGTATTTATTGAGCACTTATTATGTGCCAAACACTGACTGAGACACAGATGCTCCGGCAGTGATGTGAACGAAGACCCTGACCCATCACAATCTGTAGTTTTGTGATGGAGGCAGAGCAGTAACTGTGGCAGATAGGTATACGAGGCTGTCATACGCCAACTGCTGCCACCCAGTTAAGGACAGAGACTGGCTGGTGAGAACCACTTTCAGAGAAGGCCTTTTTTCAGACCTACTGTGCCGTTTTCTCCCTGCCTCCCTCTATTTGACAAATGCCCTAAGCGATTATGTATTCTCAGAGAACAGGCCATGCTGGGCGGTATAATTTTGATCTGCAGAAATGATACTGCACCACAGATCTTTCCTGTTCCCAACCTTTCTCACTCAGTGCCCTGCATGTATGCTTCACTTTTGCAGAACTTGTTTGCTCTTTGTTTGTTTTGCAGTCCTGGGAACTGATCCCAGGGCCTCCCTTGTGCTAGGCAAGCGCTCTACTATTAAGCTACTTGCCCGACATCCCCCATGTTTTGAGACATGGTCTCACTAAGTTGCTGAACTCAAACTTGCAGTCCTCCTGCCTCAGCCCCCTGAACAGTAGGGATTACAGGTGTGCTCCACTATCCCCAGCTTGCAATTGCTTCTTGATTCCCAGCATCTATTGCATTTTCCTTACCATTCCCCTACTGATGAACGAAGGGGTTGCTGGAGGCTTCCAGCATTACCAGCATAAAGGGCCCTGGCGAACAGGCTTCGTGTGGGAGGAGATGTTACTAAAGTGACTGTGTGAGCTGCAGACGAGCACTAGAGTGCTGGTGAGTGAGACAAACAGGGAGGAGTTCGTGCTCTGGGCTGAGGTAGAGAGGAAGAGGTCACCAGCGCCCAGGGTGTGCGCGCTCTACAGACCCTGGAAATGACACTGCAGCCTCGCTGGGTGAGACGGAAGCAGAGGGAGAGGTCTGAGGGGAGCAAGGTGACTTTTTAAGGGGCCACTGCGGCTCCTGGGCGAACAGTAGACCGCAGGAGGCACAGTCAAGACCAGGAGTCCAGTTATAAGCCTGCTGCCCAAGGCCAGGCGAGGGACCAGAGTCCTAGGCGCTGGTTGGCAAGGGGTGGGAGGTGTATTCTGAAAGCAGAGACAACAGACTATGCTGCAGGTTGGGGGAGAATCTGGGGTGCATGGTAATGATTAGGCATCCCAACTTAGACATCTCTGAGCAAAGTGACCTTCGATGAGTCACAGGCCTTAACTTCCAAGGCTCAGGAGTAGAATCCTGTAAAGAGCGGTTTCAGAAACCACCTTCCAGAAGGGACTGAGGACAGAATGGCAAGTAGGATCACCTCAGCACCCTTGGTCTTCACGAGGTCTCGATCAGAGCAGTGGGCACTGAAGACTCAGGTCCCTCTGAACTCAATCGCTGAATTCCTCCATGTCAATTTGGCGTGCACCCTATGCTATTAAATTTTTCATGTGATAAAAATGTAAGCCCCCAAGAGGGATATACAGTGTCTTCCATGGTTTTGTAACCCAAGATGTTACATTTAAAAACCCCATAAATACTCATTAAAGGGGAGATAGAGTGAACAAGGTCCTGCTTTATCTTTAGGCAAAACATAAATTCTGTGGTAAGTACAGAGTTGCTTGAACATTTTTGTTGTTTCATTAATTCTTCTTCCCTCTCTTCTCATTTGTAAAGAGCGAATAATAATTGCAGGTAGCATCATCCTATACTATTTTGGGAGTTCACAGATGTCTACAGGAAAAAATGTGTACAGGCGCCAAGGCATAAAGATCGCTGTCACAGGCATCAGTCCAAGACCGGAGATTCCAGCCTCATGACTTAACTCAGTCCCTGGGAACACTGTTCTCGTTGTCAGTGTGGCTGTGTCTGGTGCTTTCCTCTCATGCCGTACTCAGAAAAGCTAATAACCCAGAAGGAGAAAGCAGGGGCTCTGTGCAGCAGGGACCTCGTAATTCTTGCATCCCACCTCTGTCTCCTTTGCAGTCACCAAACCTCGTAGTCCCTGACAGCACATCCCTTCGACGTTGCTAAAGTAATTTAAAGGTGACCACATTTTCCCTCACTTTGATGCCACACTACTTTTACTGTAAACATCACCTTTCAACACGAGGTAGACTGTGTCTGAGTCCAGCTCTGTAGCCCTCAGGAGTGAGCTTGGTATGGTTCTTAAATTCCATGCCTCAGCCACCGCATCTGCAGGATGGAAATGACTATAATATTCCTACCTCCAGTGTTTACAGTGAAGAGGAACTAAACACGGAAAGCGTGGCGAACAGAGAAAACCATGCCTGTCTCCACTCCCTGTTGTTAATGGGCGGCCTTTCCTAGTGCAGCCATCAGAACTTACTGGACCAGCTCTGTTTTGCCAGCGCCTGGGTCTTTCCACTCACCGTGGCCACGGCTGTGCGCGGTCGGACTCTGTCGCAGTCCACCGCTTCCACGGTGAGGTTGTACTGCTTCACAGACTCGAAGTCTGGCTGTGTGGTGAGCTCGATCATCCCAGAGCGAGGGTGGATCCAGAATCTTCTCACAGCCTGGGTGTCTCCCTCGGTGATCTTGTAGGTCAGACAGTTTGGTGGGTGGTCGTCATCAATGGCGGTCACTCTTCCGACTTTGTAGAAAGCTGACAATAACATTTTATAAGGCTCATCCTTCTCGCACAGATACAGAACTCTAAGAAGTTGAGCATGAATTTGTTTTCCAAACAGCATCACAGTTTCTCAGAGGGATAACTAGAGGCCTGGAGGGCAACAGAAAGTGTCTGAAACCTTCAACTGTACAGGAGGAAAACTTAAGAGTCCTCTGTCACTGCAAACCATGGTGCACGGATCGATACACTTAAAATAACTTCAAAATAATGCCACTCAGTTTAACCTAGCATTATGCTAATATTGGCATCAGATAGGCTCACAGTACACACCGTGAAAGCAGCATGCCTAGGTTCCCAGCCTCGGCCCTGTCATTTCCTGGGTCACTCACTGAACCATCTACAACCTCTCGGGGCCTCGTGTCCCTCAGCTCGACTCTTCAGACTGGGACTAATACCAGTGTTTACCATACAGAGCTGTCATGCGGACTGAGGAAGTTAAAATATCGAAATCACCCAGAGTGCTGCCTGGTGTATGGTAAATGCTGAATGAGACTTCGTTACTATGTATACACGTTCTCCCATTGAGCAGTCTCAGCAGCCCCATGATGTATGTCCTATTAATAACTTCGTTTTATAGAAAAACAAACAAAGGCCAATGGTTTCAAGTAGTAAGGTCACAGAGGCACTAGGGAAAGAATAAGAATTCAAATTTGTGTCTGCTTTCCACATATTCTTTATTTTTCATTTTGATGTGTTTCTTTTCATTAGTGAATTGATCCATTCACATTTAATATAATCACTGATAGGAATTTGTGTCCAACTTTTTCCATTTCATCCGAGCATCATCACTTATTCTCCCTTTCTCACTTTTTCCCATTGTGAGTTATTTCCACTATATAACTTTACACTTAGCAGGGATTTACTTCTCACATTCTATCACTGTAACACTCTTCTTGGAGATTACAACATGGAACCGTGACTTTTTAAAGTGCATGTCACTAATACAGAATGGTGATGCTTTTTTCGGGAAATCTGTGTTTGCGGTTAACGTATCTTGGTCTTTCCCTATTGTGTTACCCTTCTGTCCCTTTCCTGCCATTCATCCGCTTCCCTCTCTCTATTTTCCTGTATGTATATATTCATTCATTCATCCATTCATTTATTTGGTTTCCATAAAAGAAGAACTTGATACAACTATCAGAGCTGCTTATTTCACTTAACATCTTCCTGCAAGTGATGTCATTTCACTCTTTTTGAGGCCTACAATCCGCATTTTTAAGTCTGCTCGCTATAACTACAGTGTGCAGCACCCCAAAATTATCCTTCAAAAGAGAGATGGATGTCACATGCTGATTGGGTCCGCAGACCTGGAACTTTCACACCCTCCCATCCCTGCGGGGGTGGCCAAGTCCCCTGACCCCCGCCCCAAAGCAGGACGGGTGACCTGCAATCTGGGCTCTCCTGATTGTCCAAGACCAGAGGCAGCCCAGCCAATTCTCAGCTTCTGGACTGCATCAGCGCTGTTGCTGTGTAATTCTACTTTCATGAGGCCGATCATACGGCACACTCGTGGTAATGTGTTACAGATTTGTCAGGCACCCTCGGGCCTTTATATGTTACAAACTCCAGCAGACGCTTCCCCTCTTTGGTGCAGTGAAATACCACCGTCAGTGGCTTGCTAGCTCACGAACCAATGTAGGACATTTTGTTTCTAATAATCAAGAATAAAGAAATGCGAAGAAAGCATTTCAGGAGCTGTTCCTGCCCCCTCAACCTCAGAGAATTTCTCTCTCCATTGGCGTCCTCCCCAGTCTCTGGAACTGTGTGACTCGGCAGGTGACAAACAGCTCATGACACCAGGGGCAGACGAACCACAGTCACAACAAAGAGCAAGGCTACAAGGAAGAGCCTGCTGGTTCACTCCTGTGCCATCGTCGTCACTTTCACAGTCAGCGCCCAGCTAAATAAACCTGAAGTGAGTTCTTCTGAGGGTTTTCACTAAAACTGAACGCCATCTTGAGCATCTTTAGCTGAATTTCAAACTAGGGCAATTGTGCATCTCTGCCAAACTTGCTCATCAGAATCTATTGGGAATGAAACTAGTTTTGCTCCGTGACCTGCAGCCCAGTGTGATTTCGTTTTCATGTGTGTTCCTCTAAATCACTGCTGCTGAGAGAGCCTCTCTGCCTGTGCCTCCCGCCTCCAGAAACCCTGTCAGCTTGTCACACATCATGGAAAAAAATGTCTTTAAATATTGTAGCATTCCTTAATTTAGTTAGAGGAAAACCATCATAAAATTCTCACACACACTCAATCCCTGTGCTAATCAACTCAGCATAAAAAGTTTTTTTTCACATTAACAAAATGAAAATGCCCACAAGGTCTAAAGACTAAATGTTTGATGTTTTGAGGAGACTTCGCTTTCAGAGTAGTTCAAACTTTCCAATTTCCTTCATAGAGCAAATTTCCAGGGACTTGGAAGATTTTTTTATCTACTAATAAATATCTACACACACATACATACAACACTTCTCTAATTTCATTCAGTTTACATATTCTTGTAGGGGGGGCCAAGGAATTTTTTTTTAAAAAAAGGCAAAAGTCTAGCACGTTCTATATTATAAGCAGTCAGTAAGCATGTGATTGCCATTAGTAGGGCAATGAAATATGGCTCTTTTAGCATATGCTGTATAATTAGCCTACATAAAATACCAGTTAAGTTTCATATCAGCTCTCTGATATAGTTACTGGAAACTTCATTTCACAGAGGTGAACTCAAAGGTACATCTAGGTTATGGGATTTAGTAAAGTCATTTAACCAGCGAGCACAGGCAGACTTGAGTCCTGTCCTATTTGACTCGTGGTCTTCCAGCCCCGCTATGTGCCCTTGCCAGCCAGTATGACTTGACTCCAAAACACAGCTGCTTCCAGCTCTTCAAATACTGAAGTCCTGCCTAGAGACACTAAGGAAGAAACATGTGCCCTCTGGGATGACAGAAAACAGTAAACATCACCTCTGCTGCCCCTTCTAAATCTTATGCTCCTTGGTCTCTGCTAACAGATCTGACCCAATTCCTGTCTAACTTACGCGGCAACGGACCCTGCCTATGATCTTGACTTCAGATCTGAAAGCTTGATCCCTGGTATTAGAAGGATTTAAGTTGCATGGCTATCGACCACATTGACTTACTTCTTGACACTTGAATCTATTTTGAACCCAAAGGGGAAGATAAACAAAATAATGTTAATATTATGCAATTTTTCATTGCAGAAATCCTGTATCTGCATCAAATTTCAAGGGAGCTTTTGGGAAACATCAGGATGACACCCTGAGGACATCACCATTGAGGATCACCTGTTCTCAGAGGGGTGCAGCTCGCAATGCCCCGCACCTGCCTCAGTTGTGTGAGTCTCCCTATTACTTTCCCATTGCTCACTCATGTCTCTAGGTAGTTCCTGGTGGATGCTGTTGTATTACAGAAGCGAGGGAGGCCTTACCTCCTGATGTCTCTGGAACCGAGAACGAGTAGTGAGCAGCTTGAAACACAGGGCTGAAGTCATTGGTGGGAGCAAGCTCCACAAAGATTGTCACGGTAACTGGAAAAAGGAGGAGAGAAGAAGTGCCTGGTTGTCGGTCTTCTGTTCTACGGACAAGCTGAGTGGCCCTCAGAGTACAGAATTAGCAGAGAATTTGACACCGTGGGATGTTTCTGGCTCCAAATGACCCTCGTTCCCAGACTGTGCTCTGAAGAACCCAGTGAGTTCTAGTGCTAACCAGAGAGCAGTGCAGTCAAATGTCCTCCACGTCACATAGAGATGCCCATGCACCCTTACATGGTACGTGTAATGTGCACATGTGGGTTTTTCACAGGAGAGTTAACCATGGCTCCCCGGGTGCAATCTCCTCCATCACAGTTGTTGGGGTGTCGCTCTCAGCACAGCCCTTAACAGCCTAGGTTCTGCTTCCAAGGTCTGTCCCAGGATGCTCAGTGGGACAGACTAGAAAACCCACGCTCAGTGCTTGGCTTCAACTCACACTCTGTGGTCATTAACGAGTTTGGCTTCCCAGTTATGTCATCAGGAAGGAATTGAATCAGCTTTAATCTCCTACATCACCTGGACATCTGAGGTCAGAATGAGCGGATGACCAAAGCCGATTTGCAAACCGTAAAAAGTTAAGTAGAGCCAGGGATTTAGCTCAGCGGTTCATTGGCCTGCCTTGCAAGCGTAAGGACCCGAGTTCAATCCCCGGTACCAAGAAAAAAAAAGATAAGTAGAAAGTAGTCGTTACATTTGGGTCACCTCAGCCTGCTGTCTGTGATACATGTTGTGGAGAGGAAGTCTGCATTTCATGCCAGAAAGTATCGTGTCCCATGGAAGAGTTATAAAAGGTAGGAGTTCAACGTTCAAACATACGGCAAGCAGCGTGCACACAGGGAACATTTTTAATAAAACTGATATAATAACTAACATTTCCTGTGCAAGACACTGACTTGACATTGGTAACATTGTCCCAGTTTCACAGGTGAGAAAGTAAGGATTGTTTGTGGCCAAAGGACACAAAACTAATGTGTCTCTAAGTGGTGATTGGCCCAAGCTGTACCTGACTATCTCCCAAAATATCCCCGCTAAGATGGGAGTGTGGCAAATACAAAATACTAAGTTAAGTAAAGATTAAAAGGTTTATGTACAGCAACACTTGCTTGGGTATCTAATATTTCATTACATATTTTGAATCTCAGGGTGAGTATCGCTCCCCAAGCTCATTTGACCGTGGGATTCTCCTTCTGTAAGTTAAGGTGTAGAACTCATGTTCTGAAGAAGGCTGTGTATTGCCAGTCCTGAAAAATCTATGCCACACATATCAAACAAGAAACTTTAACCTGAGATCTGTAGAACCTTTATTTCAGAAAATCTGCGGCATTCTTTTATTTTGACGTATGTTATTATGTGCATTTTTAAAAGGACAGTGTCTATGTCTTTCATCAGAGTCTCAAAGGCCCCCCCCATCACTCAAAATGTTTAAAGACTGCTGCTGCTATACAGCGGCAAGTGATCTGTGTTACAGGCTGTATAACACCTTCAATAAACCCCATTTGCACGAGGAAAGAGTTGGTACCGTTTACAGCTCTGCTACACTGTGACTTTTATTGTGCCCATAAAGGCCCCAAATTGTGCTAATTAGCTGGCCTATAAGACGAGACTAAAGCCCAGGTGCAGCGCTATAAGCACCCTTTATGAGCAGTGGCTGAGAATGCAGTGCCATGTGAGGACCACAGAGGATGTCAATGTATTACTGAGAGGTGTTTCTCCCTCTCCAGCTGGGGAAAGGCTCAAATTTGGTGAGAGAAGCAGATTCTGTTTTGATTTGTTAGACCATCAGGCTAAGCAGCTGCAAGCAAAAGCGCCCATCCTAAGAGGTCAGAGCTAAGTCACACACAGCCTCTGCATTAACACCAAGCGTCTCTGTTGAGCAGCAGAGAACACACAGCGAGAATCCTTGTCACTGCTGTGCTGGGTTCCTGCTTCCTGTACATCGCTGCTCCTCGAAGTGGGCTCACTTGACTATAAATCATCCTATTAAGCCCACCACCGTTGAAATTATTATGTGGGCGAGTCAGGAGAGATGTAAGGAGACTTGGGCCTGTGGATTAAAGTTTAGCATTGTGCTCCTTTGGTTGCAAACCTATAGACACATCCACAATTCCACCTTTCCACGTCCACAGAAGACAAAGCACTCCAGCCCACTGCCCCCAGATCCAACCTCCGAATCCTTCTGGACGCAGCGACACAGGCAACTGCCACCAGTGAGGTGGGGTCCGCACAAGAAACCCAAATACCACCGTGTTCTGGGCTCTCCTTACCAAACTTTTCGCTGATCCTGTATCGGCCCCTAATACCTCCCTTCCAGGACATCTCCAATGCCAGCCATCTGCTGGGCCGCCTGTACTTTATATGCACCACACATTCTAAGGGCTAGAGACACTCGACGTTAAGGACAGATGACACCTGAAAATTTTGAGAATCTCTGTTTTCATTAAAAAAATCTCTATAACCAACAAATTCACTCTTAAAATTGTGACATGTAGTTGAATATGCAATGACCCCTTCAGATACATGATTTGTGTTCTAGTGTGTGTAACAATAAACAAAGAAAAGCAGGCACGGACAGCTGGCTAAATTCACTCACTTTCTAAATTCTATGCTCTGGATCCACAGCACACAACTGAGATGCATACTGAAGATGAAGAGTACTTTGCAATAAGCAGAACTATATTAAATCTCAAATGCCCGGGGCTTTATGATCATGCAGTCTTGGTGGACTCAACCTCACTACATGAAAGGCCCTTTCTATCACAGGCAGAGCATTATGAGAAGACCCTATAGAGGGAGAAGATCGTGCTCTGCACCTCAAAACTGGGTATGAGCTACAGAACCAGGCAAGCCAAATTTGTGTCGCATAAAATGGTTCAAATAATGTATTTTAAAAGCCACTAATAACAAGCATTTAGCATCATTAAAATAAAAGTATTAAGCATATACTTTGGGTCTGTATATCCATTACTCCTTCTAACTGCAAAGATCTCTCTCAAGAGCTGTTAAGAATTGTTTCTTGTTTTGTTTTGTTTTTTGGTACTGAGGATTGAACTTGGGACCTTGCACTTGTGAGACAGGCAGCAGAACCACTGGGCTAAATCCCTGGCAAGAATTGTGTGTTCTTTAAGGTGCTGCTAAAATGTGAAAAGGGCTTCCCAGACCTAATGAAAACTTCCAGTATAATCCTACCTAATTCCCCACTTTATCTTTTGTCAAACTTAACAAAATGTCCCAAATATGATAGATAATTACATTTCAAAGCTTAAAGTGAACAATGAAAAGAATAGGCTCTTAAGCAGTTTATCAAGAGTACCTGTATGCGAGGGATGCAGGTCATCAAATACTGAAATCGTCATTTCATAAATATGTCCCACGGCAACCACCTCCGGGTCTTCATAATCCAGCTCTTTGGTGACCTTGTAGATCAACATTGTTTCAGCAAAAGGAGCAAAAAAACATTTTTTGAGACAGGGTCTTGCTATGTGATTCAGGCTGGCCTTGAACTCACTATGTACCCAGGCTGGCCTTGAACTCATGGCAATCCTCCTGCCTCAGCCTCCCAAATGCTGAGATCACAGGCATGTGCCATTGCATGTGCCTGGCAGGACCAAATTTTTTAAGGTACATGTTTTAATAAATCATTCTGGAAGAGGCAAATGCATAGCTATTTTCATTTCTTTGGAGTGGCATCAGAATCTGCCCAACACTGGCACAGGTGTATACTCAAAGCATGGCCTTTTGGTGGAACAAAGATACATCAGGTTTCCAGGGTAGCTTTCCTGTGAAAAAACATCCTCGCATAGCAGAAGAAAAATATAGGCCATACCCTGTCCTCATTGTGTGCTAGTTGTTTTATCCTAGACAAAATATTTTAAGATAAAATATTTTGAATGTTAAGTGCTAAAGTACTATAAAAATGTAATTGGTTCCAAATATGATAAGTTACCACTTCAAAAATATGTACTGGGGACTAATTAAATGCCAGTTATGCTTGTAGGTACCAAGGAAATAGGGCAAATAAGTCCCATATCAGACTTGAAGACAGAAGTACCTTAATAGCATTAGCATAAATTTCAGTCTGTGCAAACTGGAATGACTCAATATGACACCAGGTATCCAGATGTTTGGAATGGTTACATTTTAAAAATTTAGTGCATGATTTCCTCATCCACTCATTAAAGCATGTATAGTACCATTATGCACCAAGCACTGTAGTAAGCCTCATGAGCCACTTACAGTTAATGAGGTCAACAACTAAACAGCCAGTTAAAACAGAGTCTCAGAAGAGTTTTGGTATGGGATAGACAACCCATAAAATGTGAGCCCCTAGCAGAAAAACTAAGCCAGTTAGAGTGCTTTAAAAAATCACTTGAGAATAAGTCACACTTAATATCTAAAGCATGGTTACTCAAACATAAAGATTATTAGAGGTGGGTAACTGACCGAGGTACTAGTCAGATATGGAGCAAGTAATGCAAAATCCCAGAGCTCAGTTAGCATCCTATTCACAAAACATCATCTCCACCCAAAATGAGATGACAGTTTGCCCTTGCATTGCAAGCTGAACAGAAATCCAAATGCCTAAGCTTCCAAAACTTTTAACATATGTGAAAGTTCAACTTGCAGCCTACGGAGCTTGTCAGGAAAAGGTGGGGTTAGGATCAAACAAAGGAAAAGGTTAGCGACTTTCACAGCCACATTTTCAGGCTGCGGTCAGAGTGGGGAGGACACTTGATATCTGGGTTAAGGAACAATTTACTGGCCTCTTGGAGGTTGGCCCTTTGAAATGAAGACCTATGGAGATTTGGAGTTAGAAGGAACAATTTCTAAGGGAGACTCATACGCTGAAAAAGAACAAGAAAAACTAAACTATGTTCACACTTTACCAGTGGAAGGTTTCGATTCTCAAAAGGGGCCAGAGAGCTGATCAGCCATTCCCAGTGCCAAGAGAATATGCCATCGTCCCACATATAAATACAACCACACAGGTTTATCTCTGAGGAAATCAGTGTGGTTTTCAGCCTCTGATTTCCCCAGCTAAATAGGAAGTAAATTATTTTGTGCTCATTATAAAAAGGAGAAAATAATTGCAGGCAGAAAGAGAGTGAAGGACAAGACATCTTCCAGCAAGACTCTAGGGGAGCCCAGCACTCTCCTTGCTGTGTTCAGGCCTCCCTTCCTGCATCCACCAGCGCCTTCCCAACGGCAGCTGTGACATTTCAGCATCTCCTTGGGAACTCTGCATGGGCTGGCAGCCGCTGCTGCTCACCTGGATGACACTGTCAGCATTTGGCGCTTGTTGGAAGATTTGTCCAGAACCAACTGGTCCCAAGCTTGGAACGTAGTGGATCGTATCGGGAGGATCATCAAGATCGTGACACGAGAGCTTTGCCACTACTGTGTCTTCTACAATCACCTCTTTGCCTGTGTACCTGTTTCATTGTTCAAGAACAAAAATCACTTTAGACTGACATTCTTTTAAAACAGAATGCTCTTCCCCTAAACATCCATGAATTTGGATACTGCAGAGCCTAGATGTGGATGCCCCACTCATCCTGCAGGAAAGGAGTCAGCTCTGGAGCTCCCTCGGGTATCTGTTTCCCAACAGGCTCTGGGACGCTGGTGAGGCTGTCCTTTTTGGAGTGTTCCCTCTCTGCACCCAGCTGGACACCTGCTTGGTCAAAGCCATCACTTCACTGAAGGGTCCGAGGGGAGTCCGACCGTCCCCAGACTGTCCCAACCCGGAGCACGTGGGCATGGTCAAGAGAGTCGGTTCTTCCCATGCCGTAGCCACAGGGACTCACGGTCGTTTCTGCACATCCACCCTCCCCAATAAGATCTGAGATCTTGCTGCCCCAATGCTCCATCTTCAGCCTTCAGCATCTACATCCTGTTTAATCTTCAAAGATTAACAGAGTTCCCAGCCTTTGGGATGCTTCCCCAATTGCCCCAGGCCCTTGTGTTCTCCCTCTTGACAGTAAAAACACAGCCCCTGGGACTTGGAGTCCTGATGTTTCATGGTGTGTGTGTGTGTGTGTGTGTGTGTGTGTGTGTGTGAGGCGTTTTGCTGATGTTTTACTATATATGTATTCCTGTTATCAGCTTAACAAGATACAACCTCCTCACAGAGAAATGAGCAAAACAGTACTGATGCTGTCTCCTCCGGGCCCTTAGCACTCCCTGCCCCGTGTGCTGCGTGTTTCGTTAATTAACTGTGACCTTTTCAGTGGAATAATAAGAAAACTGGAGAAGAAAAGAGGGGGAAGAAAGGATAACAAATGCCAAGCACAGACGGCACCTAATTCTTACGACTGTCATCATGGTTTGAAACGTAATTGGCTCCCAGTCGAGACCACATGGGTTGTAACCAGCAGGGCTACGTTTTCTTTTTCATAAAAAGACAAATGGGAATAGTGCTCAGGGGACACGGGGCAGCTGTCCTGCGTCTAAAATAGAGGGGAGGCGACAGAGGAGAGTGACAGGGAAGTAGCTCTGGAGACTGAGCATCCAGTGCTGGGGCGATGCAGACCTACCATCCTTCATCCAGACTCCAAAGCCTCAGATGGAAACTCCCACATCTCTTATCTGACCTGGCAACCCAGCCTGACCTGAAGTTCTTTACATCAAAACTTTACCAGCATAGTCAGCTCTGGGTCTGATCCACTAAGAGTGAGCAGTCACCACAGATCTGACATGAGTCCCACTCGGGTCTCGCTGGGAGAGCGGCATCATGGATGAGTTGCGTGCCTTTTACCCTTCTAAGTCCAGCAGGGAACAACTTCATCCTGAATCACACAGCCCCGAGGGTTCCAGACAGCATACCGGAACTGTGATAAACCACATTTACGAAACATCCACTCAGCCCTCGAGATAAATCATCCCATTTATTCTGCACAGCTATCCCCCTGAATACTACTGTTAACTCACTTTGTAAAGAAAATCTGGAGATTGAGGAGCTTAAGTAAGTTACCCAAGATCACCCAGCTAGTAAGAGGCAGAACCAGGATTCTAAGCCAGGGCCTTGATTCCAGACTCCAAACTTTTACCACTATTGTCAGGTCTTGGAAACCCAAGGACATTATTTTGAGGCAGAACAAGAGTTAAGATACACAACAGGAGGCAATTCCTCCTGCCCTCAACCCACTCTGAATTTCCACCCACGCCCACCATCTCAGCTTACCTAATCAGATACTGGTCGCAGAAAGGAGAGTTGTCATTAATGCCATGAATGTAGGCAGTCACAGGAACTGCTGCACACCTCTGGTCGTGGTCACAAGCCTTAACGGAGAAGGACTGGACCCTCGCAAATCCGGCTCTCTCCACGTCAAGGCGAGTGGCAGTGACCACAGTCCCATGCTCTGTAACAAAACACGTCTTGCTCAAACCGGCCTAGGCTGTTCTCTCCAAAATCACTTATTACATGTGTAGCTATCCAAAAACTAAAGTAGGAATTATGGTCCACTCGCTAGAATTAAGGAGCAGTTTCAAAGTGTAGGCATTTCCTTATTGACTCCCCAAAGAAACCATTAATCATATCATGTTAGTTGGTAGCAAGAACAGAACTGTTTTTGACCTGAGGCCAGAGGAGACTTTCTGGAAGAGAACGCTGTTTTAGGCTGTGGAGCACATGCAGGGTAAAGCACACCGCTGGACCACGTGGCTCGGATTTTTGCCTCACGTCATTGCCTGAAAAAGCCCCGGTGAGGGACCTGTGCTGTAGTTCACGTGAGGAGGGTGGAGGCCTGTGTGGGTGGGGCTCTCCCGGAAGCAGCATCTGCGGGGAGGGTTTGCACGTGGTGACCCAGGGCAGAGCGAGGCAAAGAGAGAATTCCCAAGAAAAGCGCACTGCCAAGCAAGTTTCCTCGGAGACAGCTGGAGCCTCGCATCACCGGGAGCTCGGGCACCAGTGTAGCACAGACACTCAGAGATGTTCCTGCAGGGACACAGAGCTCAGCAACTCCAGTCACCGGCCGAGAGCTCCCGATGGGCAGCTGTGGGGGCAAGAAAGGGGCGAGCAGCTATCAGACTCCAGGTAGCACCTCGAGCCAAGAAATGCTGGTGCTGAGGGGTGGAAGTCGGGCTGGCTGCACTGAAATGCTACAGCCGGAGGAGATGGAGCAGGGCAGTGATAGTTTCTGCAGCAGTGGGTAAACAGCTATGGCTAGCTGCGGCCCCCTTTCTCCTCTGCTTAGCCTCGGAAGAAGCTTCGGATTCCACACACTCAGACGCACCCCCAGCCGCAGCCCTGGGGAATGAGGGACTGCCTCCTCCAAGTCCAGCCTGATTCTCTCTCACAAAAGTGTAGGCCTGCAGCAGAGAGAAGAGCTGAATTGGATCCGGCAGGAGATAGACGGGTAGGGAAGGAGGAGGGCTAAGACCACCCTGTGCCGCCATTTTCTAGCAAGCATCGGTGAACAAAGAAATTGACCTTGCAGAGAGGTGTGGAACGGATCGTTGGGAAGTGTCTCTCGCACACGCTTCATGCTGGGGTCTTGGAAATCAAGAAACAGTCTGCAGGTGGGATGTGCGTAGAAACCTATGATTGCAACCACGTGTGATAAGACAATTTGTGGAGAACAAGTTTCAACCTACCTTGATCAACTGCAAAGTAAACATTCCCAGGCTCAAGTTGGAAGGTCAAATCTCCCAAGTCATCTTCGTCATCTGCCCGGCACGCTCCAACCGTTTTCCCAACTGGGATTTCCTCATCCAGTGTGATGTCCACTTCGTTGTGCAGAGTTGAGTTGACAGATGTGACACTCAGGACAGCGTTTTCAATGTTGAATAAACTTGTTTAGAAAGCAACCACTGTTGGTGTTAGTCACTCGTGGTCTTTTCTACACTTTATGGTGCTATAGAAAATAGTTTACTGAGTTTCTGCATAAGGCAGCTAGCTAGTAGAAATAGAGTGGGGTGACCAGCCAAGTTGATAAAAATTAAGAATAGACCGTGAGATAGGGCTTTGAACAACAAATCAATTTCCTCCGGCAGCACAGAATGCACCCCAGCCCTACTAGGGAAAGGTACAGCCACTCCTTACTAAGATTCTGAAGGTGAGGCAGTTATAATGCAAATTAACCACTTCTTTCTGAGACCCCTAGGTCTTGAAGAACTGGATTAGAAGTCAGAGTCCCAGTTAGTCGTTTTTAATCCACAGAGCCAGCTGTGACAGGTGACGACTAAACAGCGGAGCCACCCTGTGCCCTGTTTATCTACAATTAGCTCTAGATCAGGGGACCACGTGGCCACCCCTTTTGGGGCCCCTCCTGGAAACTCAGGAGCTGTTCTTATTTCAAAAAAAAATTTTTTTTCCTAACATCTTCCTTTGGTTCAAGACTTCATTCCTGGGTTTTTGTGTCCATGTTATCAGCAGCTTTGGAGTAGTGGGTTTGAGGTAACAGTGACAAAAATGAGAAAAATATCATCAATAATGATATTAGTAGCTAACCGATTTATTGCGCACTTACTTATAGTCAAAAATCTGTGTTCTCTCATTTATTTCTCAGAGCAGCCCTAGGAAGCATGCGGCTGTTTTTGTCCCCATTTTGCAGTTACGGAAACTAAGAATTTAAGAAATTAAATAACTTTCAGAAATAAATAGCAAGATGGCAGAGACAGGATTTGACCCCAACACTGTTTCACTCTACAATCTATCCCTTTCCTGTGCAGTAGAAAGCAACCTCCTAGAATTGCTGACGCTCAACACTGTGTCATCAACCCCTGGTGCCGATGTTGGCAGGACTTGCAGGTGGGCAGTGAGAGATAGGGCAGCCATCGGGCCCTAGGAACACAGCACCCAAATCACCTGCTATTGTGTCTTCACTACAGTGTCCAGTTTTAAACTACTGCGCTTTCCGTTTTGAAGGAAGACTTTTCTTCGGAATCTTATATCTGAAGTGGCTGTTCGCATCTTACATGCTTACTTTCCTTCTCACAAAAAAAAAGAAAGGCAGAAGAAAGAAAAAAGACTACATTTTCAAATTTGATTTTTAAGGTTAAACTAAAATCATGTGCTTTATGTCTTACATCCTTACCTGCAGGTCAGAATGGGATCCTTATTGTTGACATTGACAAGGAAAATCTTCAGATTTCCAGCGGCGAACAGTCCTCCAGGGTCAACCGCTTTAATAACCAGTGAAAAACTAAAAGCACAGCCATGAGAAAGACAGCTAAGATTATGTGGTCATCACAAGCTTTCTCAGAAGTACCAGCTCCTGGCTGAACTGGTTCTGGTAACGGATTCATCTGTGGAAAACATCCATCAGGCCAGTTATTTCAGCAGCTGGAACTGGCTAACACTTTGTTCAAAAGCAAACCAGTCATGCCAGCTGGAAGGACAGACTGGGACTTGGAAAAGCCTGTCATTGTTGTAAACAGGCAAGTGCGAAGGAAAGGATGTTAAGAATACTTCAAAACAACTACATGTGAATGACTGTGGGAAATACAGGGAAGGCCGGTGATTGATGGTTGTCGTTTCAGCAGAGCTGTGATGGGTTTGAGGACAAAGAGTGAGGAGATGGGGAGGTGGACGGTGAACAGTCACGCCACACACAGTGCCCTCTGGTGACCTCTCCGAATTTGCCAGGTACCATCTAGGTTAAAGCAGAGCTGAAGTCACACAGCTGGTTACCTCAGCAGGGAAGGAAGTTCTAGTTTAACTAACAAAGTGAAAAATACTGATGATTGAGACCAAAAGGGTTGTTTTCCTTCTAATAATGCTAAAAATTAAATTTTCAATTTTCCTCATATTTCATGATTTTTCCTACATGAAGTTAATTATTTATGAGACATACTGTTGGCAGAAACCACAAAGTCAATACTATTTTAGGAATAAAGGATTTTAAAAAAATAACTGGGAAGATTTGAGGGCAAGGACGAGAGGAATCGGGGGCCATGTGCAGTCGCCTCCAGTGTGGGAGACCTGACCAGAGGGTGCAGCAGCGGGCCTGGACAGACTGCACAGCCCTGTGTGTCCCTCTGAGCGAGGAGGCCCAGAAGAGCCAACGACGCAGTCCAAGATGTCCTTTGCTCTCACCAGCTCTGCTCAGTGGCCTTGGAAGCCAGTGCCAAGAAGGAAACAGAACCGCTGCGCTCTCCACGCAGCTCAGGGAGAGCGTGCTGAGCTCCAGGAGCCGCTCTCCGTTCTGACCCGCAGCCCAGTCTCCCATCTTCCAGCCCCTCAGACTCAAAGACCCTAAGAAAAGGGAGAGCTTTGACTTTCACCTATGGAGGGAAAGTTTATCCTTCAACTCTTACCAGTGACTTCTTCTTCCATTTGTGAACAGATCTTAAGATTCACAAATGTCTTGGACGCTCATGACCATTGTTCCAAGAGGTATCGTAGGCCATAAAGAAGATTAAGCTATGATGGACGTTAGTCAGTGTTCTCAGAGCCCTTAGGAAAAAGTAGTTAGGAAGATGATTCAAAGAATTATTTGACTAGGGTAGAGGAGTTGGGGATCAAGAGAAAGTGAATGGAGGCTTGGTGAGTTCTACCCTCCAATCATAGGCAGAAAACACAGGTTGAAGCGCTCTTCTGCTGATTTTACAAGGCTGGTAAAGAAAAAAGGAAAGAAAAAGCACATCCCGAGGGGGTTTTTTTCAGCTGCCTGCCTACCTGCCTGTCTGCGATCACCGGCGGAGTGCGCGTGAGCTCCCGGCCTGCGCGGGAGCTCCCGGCCTGCGCGACAACAGACCCAGGAAGGACCCAAGGACCCCAGAGGGGGTTTTTTTCAGCTGCCTGCCTACCTGCCTGTCTGCGATCACC